AGAATTCTCGCGCGCTGATTGGTCGAGAGCCGTTGTCAATCCTAGGACAGACGGATGAAATGACGAATCGCTCGCGCACGGAGCCGGCGCGCGCTAGAAATGGTTTTGTTTCGAAAGTTTTACTTTGTTTTCAGCTTTTTTATGGTAAAAAACAATTCGCAGGCGGTTTTCCATTGTCTGTACTCTTATTGACAATGAAATTGACGTCAAAAATGCTCAAAACTCAAGTGGAACCACGAGCGTAAGCGAGTGGTTTCACTGCAAAGTTTTGAGCATTTTTGACGTCAATTTCGTTGTCAATAAGAGTACAGACAATGGAAAACCGCCTGCGAATTGTTTTTTACCATAAAAAAGCTGAAAACAAAGTAAAACTTTCAAAACAAAACCATTTCTAGCGCGCGCCGGCTCCGTGCGCGAGCGATTCGTCATTTCATCCGTCTGTCCTAGGATTGACAACGGCTCTCGACCAATCAGCGCGCGAGAATTCTACAAGTTATGGTAAAATTTGTTTTTGTAGATACCAACAAATCAAAGAGCAGTATGACCTGAAGGTCCATGAGGCTGAGCTTGCTCAAGAAAGACTGAAACAGACTTCCCATCACCAACAGCTAGAAGAAGTCAAAGCTTTGGAAAACACTGTTGGTAAGTTTACAGTATATTGGGATTGAATAAATCATGTTGCTTACAAAATACAGTGTACCTTTGGGCAAGTGTTCACCTTACTGGGAATGAATACTCTGATTGGCTGTGCCCTTCTTAAAAGAACAATGACACTTTTTGCCTTTTTTTCTTCTGTTTTAAACAAGACTATTGAATTGTATATTCCTAGAGGTGAAAACTCACCCCTACCTCCAGTTATATACTGGATAGACAAAGCTAGAGCGTTGTTACTGTTGACTAAAACTCCACTTACAATAAGGCACTGACACTGTTTCTTACCAGGCTAACAAGTCAGGCAATTTGCCAGGAAAATTTGGTTGATATTACAATGTACAGTACATTGATCGCAACTCTTTCTCAACTTTTCTTTCCATTCATAACTTTCCGTACTCAGGCTCAGTGACTATGAACAAAGCATTGAACCAAGGCATCAGGGAACAATGACCACAGATCGTTTTCTTTTATGCTCACTGTACGTTGGCACCTCAGCTAAATGCTTTATTCATTGTCACTGAACCACAGTATCGCATATTGTGAATACCTTGTAAATAATTGAATATTTTACTTCAGAGGAACAACAGCAAATGATCAACAAAGCCAAACAAACAATAACTGAAGCCACAGAAAAATATAAAGACCTGGAGGAGAAAATGAAGGTTGCTGAAGTGTTTTTGTTACTCTAGGATTTCTTGTTTTAGCCAGTTTCCTAGTTTACTGTATGCTTACTATATACATGCAGTTGTTGCTTTAATGTAGCTATTATTGATGGTGGAAACTAGCAGTAAACTGATGTGAGTTTTGTTAGTGTTTCTATAGAAACAGTTGTGTAAAAAAATATTTTAACACTGTAAAAAATATGTGAAACACCTTACAGTAAGTAAAATGTCAGTATGTTGTTTCTACAGTGTTAAAGCTAGCTATTATTGACCCTGCTGCATAGGCAGTAGAGGGCTCGCGTCAGTCAGTTATAGCTTGTTCAGGAATAATTTATGATGTTAAAAGCTGGGTGGCTATGGTCAGTTGGGAGTGAAAGTGTTAAAAGTAAAGGAGCAATAGTCTGTACAGTTACCTGTTATGTACAATAGGATTTAAGTGAATCTATAACCAGTAAAACAGCTCTTTTCTACCTGTACTTTGAGTGTTTTAGCACTCTTATAGTAGGCTGTTTTGTTTTGGAATTTGTTTATTTTGATTTGATGTCNNNCATGTAAACATGAAAACATCCACTGTAATTTCAAGTGACATTTTTATTAAGATWGATTCCAGCCTTCTTGTACTTTGAATTCTACAACTTAATATTAACCTTTAAGGATAGAATTTAAATTTACTAGAACTTACATTACTGTCTATTGCAATGTGTATTATTTCTCCCTGAGCCCAGTAATAATTAAGAAGMATTTTCAAAATTTATTAGATAGAATTTAGCTTAGGGCCATTTAGTCTCCTTCGCAGCCTACCCTTTTGTCGGCCGACAAAAGGGTAGGCTGCAAAGGAGACTAAGGGCCATCCAGTTTTTTTTTGTATTGTTTTCAATTCAGTTATCAAGTATGTCTCCTTGCAGCTTTATTAGTGTAGGGGTCCTCATGTGACCACTAAAATGGTTGCTAGGAGATTACTAAGGATAAATAACAATACTCTGACAATCCTATGATATGAAAGTTTAGCTTTTAACCATGTGACTAAACTTAACCATATTGAAAATAACATAGACAACTTTGTGTCATTAATTATTGGTAATATTACTGCAAGTTCCTTCATCTCAAGATTGCTTTCAAGTTCATCATTTGACAAATAGGACTTSACAGCATAGGAATGCAATAATGCAATACGTCTTTTACCTGTTCAAAGTGAACAACCGCTGATTTAGTTGGCAACAGTCTCTCATGCGCAGAGACCTGACCAAAAACAAAAGAAGGCACGAAAAAAATGTTGTCATTACAATAGCACTAAGCCTGTATTCCCAGAAGGTTCAACGTCTTGCTCAGGCTAAGCCTCAAATCGGAGAAGATTCAAATTTCTAGAGCTATTGTAATGTCAACATTTTTTCGTGCTTTTGTTCTCTACGCAAGTGAGTCTGCTGTCTGTTAAAACAGTGGTCGCTTGCATTGAACTGGAAAAAGGCTTATTGGTAAAGTGTCTTATTAGTTGTCTAGGTTCCTCATGTAGTTATATTAGACACAGTGGTGTAGATCAGCTTTATCTTTAATTGTCTTATTTTTATCCAGAAAAGAGTATTCCCTTTAAATATAAATATGTTATTTTAACTTACAATATTAGTTACAATCTGTTGTTTTCTACATGTACATAACACCTGTTACACCTCCAATGGATTATGGGACATATCTAAACTGCAGACACCTAATATAGAAGGGTGGGGAGGGATGTTCTAGGACTGGAGTACAAGAGACTTGGGAARACTAACYGACTTGAAAACAGARATAAATGTTTAARCTATTGCCCTTATAGTCCCTCATGAGGGAAAATGTTTGACATAAAATATGCTTCTTGATACTCAAACAGTGATTTTATGTTGACCATAAAAGAAAAWGTCAATCAGAAGATCCCAGAACAGCAAAGACAAACTAATTTTGTCTTATTCTCTTCATGGTCCACAGAAAGCCACTGAAACCTGCCTTCASAAAGAGGCTTACGTGATATTCATATACAGTGAATTTTTTAACCCCTAAACATTTTCATAATTGACCTTGAATTTGATATTATTGTATAGCAAAGCATACATGAACACAAAAACGGCATTTATCAAATGCCATTGAATATTTCAATCTCTGGTTATTGCAAAATAACTTTACGCCTTACTTACTATTTTGTATAAATTTCAGTAAACTTAGTGCAGCATTGAATTAGCTCAAAAAAAATGCTATGACTTTGGACTGGATAGGTTATAAAGCTGTGYGAAAAGTGTTTAATTGTTATAATATTAAACTTCATAATAAGCAGGAAGTAATGACGATATAATAGTTATTAGAATTGGAAAACAAAAAATAGCTATTTTGATGGCTATTTAGAATGGCTCCACTATATCTGAAAAATTTGTAATGAATTGCACTTTATTTATATGATAACTAGGGTAATTAAGTATTGTCTAAGGTGTGTGTCTTTCACAGATATAAATGAATGACTCTAAAGGCTGGATTTTGCTAGCATCATTAACAAAATTTCTGGAAATAGTGATCAGAAAAGCCTCAAACATATTGACTAAAACAGATGAAATATCATTTTTCTTTGTATAATTATCTCAATTTCATTTTTTTCTACACAGATTAAAATAGGTTTCCAAAATTTAATGCTTTTGCCATGATTCCATTTCAACCTTTGCAAAAACCAGCTTTTAATWAACAATTCAATGCRRATATGGCATATTTTACAAATTACCTCAGTTTCCCACCATTGGTAATAAACATTTGGAGTTATTATTCAAGTTAAATTATTTCAAAGTCTTTTTGTGATTCCCAAACAAGGCATAGGTATCAGCATGCACAGTTGTCTTGATTTTGCTGKGGCCTTTCTGATGTCAACTTAGTAGTRCCAGGCTTCTGCCCACTGATGATGGTCGGATCAGAATCTAGACTTTCAGACATCTTGTCGCAAATGATATCAACCAGTCGCTCAAATACCTGCTTAACATTGGTGTTATCTTTGGCACTTGTTTCAAAAAACTCCAAGCCTAGTTGGTCAGCTAGTTGCTTGCCGCGATCAAAGGAAACAACTCTCTCGTCCTCCATRTCGCATTTATTGCCAACAAGAATGACTTGTGCATTGGCCCAAGAATATGTTTTCACCTGTGATGACCTAGAAATACAAGAACAAAAATTGAAAACAGACACTGTTTGGAACAACTTCCTTATCTTGGCACATGACTTTTTTCATCRTGTTWTTTTTCTTCCTTCATTGGAGCGAAAGACAAATTAATTGCTTGTCAGTGCGTTTTTCTTKYTTGCTTTACAGACAGAAAGCTTTACAACTGTCTCATTTGAAATATCGATTAGTATAGCACTAGTCATCATAATATAAAGTTATTCCTTTCCAATACAACAGCTATATGTAGTTTAAGAGAGATTATCCTTATTAAATATTTTGATYTTGGCAGATTTCTTCTCTAATGTCAATCCATGTTTGGCATATTTCCTGTCTTGATTAAATGGTTCAATAACCATCGACAAGGCAACGTTTTATGTACACAAGATCTCTTRGAGTTTTTACTATGTCAAGTATTGTAAATATATTAAATCCTATACAACCTTTAGGACAAAATTGACAGACAAACTCTATGTGTAAAACAAGATTATTGATACAAACATACTAAAAGCAAAAGAATTTCAGTKAGCGTGGAAAATTTAATCAYGACCTACTTCGAATAATAGTTAAAAATCTTTCTAGTCCAATTACAAGTAAACTTACATCCACAAAAGACAAAACAAACACTTAACAATCCAGAATACCGTAAAAAATGCCAACTATGTTTACTTTCAGAAAAAAAAACACGCTGTGAGGAATTATGAAATAAGAGAATGAGCCAGCATTAGTAATAATATAAGGCCATGTTTGATGCAATGTAATCGACAGCTATAATAATCTTCCGGGAAAATTAAAGGTCATGAAATGAATATTTGCCCGCGTAGCGTACGGCCGTTGCTAATAATTCTATTAAATCTAGAAGGATCTTTTCTGGCAAGGACGAAAAACTACCTAGCGAAATTACCATTGCTTTGGTAAAAAATAAGTTTTTATTCAAAATCGAGCCAAATGCAAATTTGCATAAAAATTCAAAAAATCAAAAACTTTCATATTTACGATACTGATATATAAAATAATAGCATTACATATTCGACAAAGTCAAAGTTAATATTTAAAAGTCTGGTGATAATCTTTGGTGGAAAATCTTCGCTCCTTCCGCTTTTTTCTGGATCGAATTAAAATTCAATATTTTCTTTACAGAATGAAAATAAAAATCGATTAAATTCATAAGAGATTTCTATTAAAAAAAATTACAATAGTGTAAATGATCAAACTTTCATCTGGATGAACTTGCTAAATGATATTTATTTTCTAGAACGGATGAAACGAAAGRAATTCTTGTTTTCAAATTTCGCTCGTTCGATGGAATAAATTCCTAAGAGTTGGTGCATGGACACATATACTGAAAAAAKGATCTTAGCCGTAGTTTATGAAATATGAGACGTTGACAACTGAAGGAATGGTGGGAAACACAAAACAAAAGGAAGAGATAAGAAAAAATCCAGGAAAAAATCAAACGAACGTTGATCAACGTACCAATCCTGCACCGCTTGGAAAGACTCTTCGTTCGTGATATCGTACATCAGTATAAATCCCATTGCGCCACGATAATATGCCGTAGTTATTGTTCGGTATCTCTCTTGCCCAGCTAACAAATAGAAGTGAAAAAGGATTAGCAAGTTTTTCACGTTAATTCACTTCAAAATAGTTCAAATTCTTGACAAACCTGTGTCCCATATCTGCAGTTTTACTCGTTTATCATTGCGAAAAACTGTCTTTACTTTGAAGTCAATTCCAACTGTAGAAACAAACGCTGATGTGAAAGAATCGTCCGCATAGCGAAAGAGAAAAGATGTCTTTCCAACGGCTGAGTTGCCAATGATTAAAAGTTTAAACATGTAATCGAAATTTTGATCCGCAGCATCTTTCTGCCATTGCTTGTTGTCCACAGACGCCATCTTGGTTCAAGAACGCCTAGAATGAAACCCAGGTCACAGCCACGACCACTAGCACCAGCCAATCAAAGTAGAGAAAATACAATARCGATTGTTTTTGGACCAATTACAGTCGGGCATTGAATAAATCAAATTCACCTGCTTGTCAGTGGGCGCTTCCCGCATTTTGAAGAAACGACAGAAGATRTTTTGCTTTTCCTTTCGTTTTAATGTTATTTTTTTGCTTGAACTCGATGACATCCTTCAGTATCAAAAGCARAGAGCGTTTTAGACATTATCGAACAATATAAATACAAGTTGAGGGGTTGCTTTTCTATGTCATTATCAGAAGTCGAAATCAAAATGAAAGGATGAACACGGATGAGAGAAAATTATGACATTCTGTGTCAATATTTGTGCCAACGTTTCCGTTTATTATGCCTCCGTCGCGCACTTCGCGTGCGATACTCTYCGGACTGTGGGCTATATTGTTGCCTTGTTTTAATCAAAAGAGAGATTCTTTGATAACGACCTTTTTCAATACGTAAATTTTAAAATTGTATATTTGCAAAACAAAAAAACGAAGACAAACGGGAGCCTAGTAACAGTGTGTTAAAAATCGCCTGTTTGATCTGGACAGAGCAAAGCTCGCTGTATTTTTGTGTGAACTGATATGAAAATTGATCTRYGCATGAAAAGGTTATAGTGGGCACTCAAAAATGTTGTTGTTTATTTTAGGATAGAGAAATATAAGCTTATTTATGAGGACTGCAGCTAATCTATTTTATTCTTCATCTTTTCTTTTATCTTAATTTTCACTACATTGATGTTTTCATTGGAGGATATTTTTATTTCACTATCTTCCGCTTCCGGCCATCGTATGTCTTGGAAATATTTTTAATAGTTAAATATATCTTGCACTCTTCTCCATGGGTGCTCTYGCTATCTAGACACGCAAGGCCATTTCTCTTTTACTTCAAACTTCTAAATGGAAAGTATTCATATTTTGGGCTACCTGTGGAACGAGCGGCTCTGGGTAATAATACGCGCAATGCATCATGGTCAATTTTCAATTTAGGCGCCAAAAACAAGAAACGTTTCTTCATGCAGAATTTTGTGAGAATTTTTGCTTGAAAAATGTACATCAAGCAGGTCACTATCGATGGGTTCAAGTCGTACGCACAACGCACTGTTATTTCTGGCTTTGATCCTTTATTTAACGCCATAACTGGGCTGAATGGGAGCGGGAAGTCCAACATTTTAGACTCGATCTGTTTTCTTCTTGGAATTACAAATCTCTCGCATGTAAGTCTTGTGTTGATATGTTTATTAATATATTTAAGCTTATGAGTTTAGTTTAATTTGGAAAATTTATGCAGGGGATCGAAAATATAAGTTTTCTTTTTATGATCCATTCCTGCCGTGGTCATTTGTACTAGCTACAGTGTATTGATACATTGTGAAATCAATGATATTAGTTTAAATTTATATTTATCGATTTTCGCATAGATGTAATAAACGTTTAGATATTGTAATTGAACATTTTTTACCCTGGTCCCAGAGGTTTTCTTTTCTCTTCTTTTCTAGATGTTTTTTTATCGTATTTTTGTCTTTGTTTTATATATTTAAATAATATAAAAAACAAAGACAAAAATACGATAAAAAAACATCTAGAAAAGAAGAGAAAAGAAAACCTCTGGGACCAGGGTAAACATTTTTGATAGCTTATAGTCAAATCCTTAGAGTTTAGAGACACGATTATGTTTATATTTTTCTTGTCATTGCCAAAAGCACTGTCTGCGACATGTTGTCAATTTATTTACAAAATATACAATGTACAATTAATGTAGGCTTGGAAAACACATTTATGTAATAATATCACTGGATCTAGCTTGCCAGTTCACAAGATACACAACACTGGTGAGAATGATTGTGTAGTCTAGGTCAAAACAGCTGTTACATGTTGTCATTGGATACAGTCTTTAGAACATACTCTGCGAACAGAGGTTCTTTTCTCACCCGCCGAGAAGCGAGAGAAAAATAATATTTTACATGTACATACAGGTACATGTAATTCACAAAAAAAGAAAATCAAAACAAAAATCAAAACAATAAGAAACATTTTAAAAATGAGCAAAGATAGGTGACCAAAATGTTAAAACTTGTCTATGCACTCAATCTTGTTCCCATATGTTATTGTTTATATTTCTGTATTGAAGGTGAGAGCTGGCTCATTACAAGAGCTAGTGTACAAAGGAGGCCAAGCTGGTGTTTCCAAAGCCACTGTCACTATAACATTTGAYAATTCAGACAAGAAGCAAAGCCCTGTGGGATATGACAGCTTTGATGAAATAACTGTCTCTAGACAGGTACGTAAGACAGTGGTTGAGATGGTTATGCTACTATGGTAACCGCTCASYAATTTCATTGCATCAAAATCTGTGKTGTTATTKAAACTCTATMCCCCCT